AGTGACGTCATCCCCCGCCCCGGCCAATGCCTGTAATCAACATCCGAGACCTGAAAGTCAGCCGCCCGAAGATGGCGGCGGTCAGCTCTGGGACAGCGCATCGTAGGGTTGAAGGCGAGGAATGTTCCACTTTAATGCACCCACCACATCTATTGTCACCTGGTGATCCTGCCATTAGTTTTCCTTTTTTAGGCATTTTTCCCCTCTAAGGATTGGGATGATGCAGTCCAATAGACTTTTGTTTTTGTGTTCAATACCAGTAAGATAACTCGTCCTCATCATATTGTCGGCTTCAGAGGAAAGTACGATTCCCGCTTCGATTCTGTAGTGTAGAGCGTGAAACCATTCCCGATTACAACACATTCCTCCCATAAGAGACTCCATCCCTCCTACACCGGGGATCACAGGTCCTGCACCACTCTGACACAATACAACGGGGGGGAGATTTACTAAAACTGGTGCAGCTGTGAATGGGAGCCAATCAGCTTCTAACTTCAGATTGTGATTCTAAAGGCTTAAAGTGTTCCTGAACCCACAACAGTACAATCAGTCTGTAGATGCAGTAAAGCATGCTTGTTATACTCACTGTGGAACCTAAGGGGTTAATCCTCTGCATGGTGTAAAAAGGCTGTTTGATCCTGTCTTCTCTACCCTTCCCCTTGTTGAAATGTCCTAATACAGACTGAATCTGTAGTCACATGCACATGCTCAGTTTGGTGTGTATTGCTAGAGGGATTCCCCCCCCCCCCCCCCCCCCTCTTGGGAGGGTGTATGTGATCAGCACAGGGCCAATCAGCACTGTCCAGACAGAGGTCAGGGGTTCTGTATCCTCCTAGAGCAGAAAGAAAACTCCTACAAGCTTCAACTAGTGCTCTGATAAATACCTTTCTCTCATCAGCAGTATTGACCACTGACTTGACTTCAGCAATTTATTTTTACTAAAATAATTGCATTCCCATGTTCTGTGTACGGGGGGAGAGCGGACAGAGGACGGCGGGGGTCCGGGGGGGGGAGAGCGGACAGAGCGACGGCGGGGGTCCGGGGGGGAGAGCGACAGAGGGGGTCCGGGGGGAGAGCGGACAGAGCGGGGGTCCGGGGGGAGAGCGGACATAGCGGGGGTCCGGGGGGGAGAGCGGACATAGCGGGGGTCCGGGGGGAGAGCGGACATAGCGGAGGCGGGGGTCCGGGGGGGAGAGCGGACATAGCGGAGGCGGGGGTCCGGGGGGAGAGCGGACATAGCGGAGGCGGGGGTCCGGGGGGAGAGCGGACATAGCGGAGGCGGGGGTCCGGGGGGAGAGCGGACATAGCGGAGGCGGGGGTCCGGGGGGAGAGCGGACATAGCGGAGGCGGGGGTCGGGGGGGGAGAGCGGACATAGCGGAGGCGGGGGTCCGGGGGGAGAGCGGACATAGCGGAGGCGGGGGTGTCCGGGGGGGGGAGAGCGGACATAGCGGAGGCGGGGGTCCGGGGTCCCGGAGCGGACATAGCGGAGGGGGGGAGGAGGCGGGGGTCCGGGGGGAGAGGGACATAGCGGAGGCGGGGGGTCCGGGGGGGAGAGCGGACATAGCGGAGGCGGGGGTCCGGGGGGAGAGCGGACATAGCGGAGGCGGGGGGTCCGGGGGGAGAGCGGATATAGCGGAGGCGGGGGGTCCGGGGGGGAGAGCGGATATAGCGGAGGGGGGGTCCGGGGGGAGAGCGGATATAGCGGAGGGGGGATCCGGGGGGAGAGCGGATACAGCGGAGGCGGGGTCCGGGGGGAGAGCGGATACAGCGGGAGGCGGGGTCCGGGGGGAGAGCGGATACAGCGAATGCGGGGTCCGGGGAGAGCGGATACAGCGAATGCGGGGGTCCGGGGGAGAGCGGATACAGCGAATGCGGGGGTCCGGGGGGAGAGCGGATATAGCGAAGGCGGGGGGTCCGGGGGGGGAGAGCGGACATAGCGAAGGCGGGGGTCCGGGGGAGAGCGGACATAGCGAAGCGAAGGCGGGGGTCCGGGGGGAGAGCGGACATAGCGAAGGCGGGGGTCCGGGGGGAGAGCGGACATAGCGAAGGCGGGGGTCCGGGGGGGAGAGCGGACATAGCGAAGGCGGGGGTCCGGGGGGAGAGCGGACATAGCGAAGGCGGGGGTCCGGGGGGAGAGCGGACATAGCGAAGGCGGGGGTCCGGGGGGGGGGAGAGCGGACATAGCGAAGGCGGGGGTCCGGGGGGAGAGCGGACATAGCGAAGGCGGGGGTCCGGGGGGGGGGGAGAGCGGACATAGCGAAGGCGGGGGTCCGGGGGGGAGAGCGGACATAGCGAAGGCGGGGGTCCCGGGGGGGAGAGCGGACATAGCGAAGGCGGGGGTCCGGGGGGAGAGCGGACATAGCGAAGGCGGGGGGTCCGGGGGGGAGAGCGGACATAGCGAAGGCGGGGGGGTCCGGGGGGGAGAGCGGATATAGCGAAGGCGGGGGTCCGGGGGGGGAGAGCGGATATAGCGGAGGCGGGGGTCCGGGGGGAGAGCGGACATAGCGGAGGCGGGGGGGGTCCGGGGGGGGAGAGCGGACATAGCGGAGGCGGGGGTCCGGGGGAGAGCGGACATAGCGGAGGCGGGGGTCCGGGGGGAGAGCGGACATAGCGGAGGCGGGGGTCCGGGGGGAGAGCGGACATAGCGGAGGCGGGGGTCCGGGGGGAGAGCGAGAGCGGACATAGCGAAGGCGGGGGTCCGGGGGGAGAGCGGACATAGCGAAGGCGGGGGTCCGGGGGGAGAGCGGACATAGCGAAGGCGGGGGTCCGGGGGGGAGAGCGGACATAGCGAAGGCGGGAGTCCGGGGGGAGAGAGCGGACATAGCGAAGGCGGGGGTCCGGGGGGAGAGCGGACATAGCGAAGGCGGGGGTCCGGGGGGAGAGCGGACATAGCGAAGGCTGGTGGGGGGGTCCGGGGGGAGAGCGGACATAGCGAAGGCGGGGGGTCCGGGGGGAGAGCGGACATAGCGAAGGCGGGGGTCCGGGGGGAGAGCGGACATAACGAAGGCGGGGGTCCGGGGGGAGAGCGGATATAGCGAAGGCGGGGGTCCGGGGGGAGAGCGGATATAGCGAAGGCGGGGGTCCGGGGGGAGAGCGGATATAGCGAAGGCGGGGGTCCGGGGGGGGAGAGCGGATATAGCGAAGGCGGGGGTCCGGGGGGGAGAGCGGATATAGCGAAGGCGGGGGTCCGGGGGGGGAGAGCGGATATAGCGAAGGCGGGGGGTCCGGGGGGGGAGAGCGGATATAGCGGAGGCGGGGTCCGGGGGGAGAGTGGATATAGCGGAGGCGGGGTCCGGGGAGAGCAGATATAGCGAATGCAGGGTCCGGGGAGAGCAGATATAGCGAATGCAGGGTCCGGGGAGAGCAGATACAGCGAATGCGGGGTCCGGGGGGAGAGCGGATATAGCGAAGGCGGGGGTCCAGGGTTTAGCATCACTTTTTTTCTTTTTTTAAACAAATACACATCTATACTTACCTGCGGTGTGCAGCGGTTTTTTTGTACGGAGCAGCCTGGATCCTCCTCTTCTTGGTTTCCCCACCGGCGTTCCTGGCCCCTGCCAGGTGCCCCCCCACAGCAAGCAGCTCGCTATGGGGGCACCCGTGCATGCGCACTCCCCAGCCACTGTGTCATGTGTCCACACACACACAGCCGTAGTACTGCCCCCCCCCCCCCCCTCTTCTCGTTGGCTGTGATTGACAGCAGGAGGAGCCAATGTCTCCCGTTACTGTCTCAGCCAATGAGGAGAGGGAGTCTCAGGATAGTCGAGACTCCAGTGCACATTGCTGGATTAATAGGCAACTTAGGTGAGTATTGGGGGGGGGGGGGGGGGGGGGGAACAGAGGTGTTTTTTGTACCTTCATGCATGGAATTATATGAAGGTGAAACCCTTTCAGCCTTTACAACCGCGTTAAGCTTTGAAAAAACCTGGAAGACGATTGGTTTCTATGAAGAGCTGCACCAGACACTTTTAGTAAATCCCCCCCCCCCCCCCCCCCCGATGTGTACTTGCCCGCTCCTTGCAGGTAAACTAACGAAGTCCAAACTAGTTTGTGAAAGCTTCTGAAAGTTTATTAGTTCTCTACAAGCAGCCTGTACATGGGGACACAGGCCGGCTCCCAGCTCTCGGGTGTTAGTAGATGAATATGTACAATACTCGGGACGCATTAAATAACGAGCGTTCTGAAGGAAAAGCTTTGTAAAGTGCATTCTGGTCATGTGACGGAATAGCAGCAATATTCCTACATAACAGTATAAAGAAAAAATGTAGATGATAAAAAACCCTTTCATGACCACCGTAGACGTGTGGGGGGTCCGGGACAACACCTCCACACTGCGCGGGGGGTCCGGGACAACACCTCCACACTGCGCGGGGGGTCCAGGACAACACCTCCACACTGCGCGGGGGGGGGGACAACACCTCCACACTGCGCGGGGGGCGGTCCGGGACGACACCTCCACACTGCGCGGGGGGTCCAGGACAACACCTCCACACTCCGGGGGGGGGGGGGGGGGGGGGGGTCCAGGACAACACCTCCACACTGCGCGGGGGGGGGGGGGGGGTCCGGGACAACCCCCCCCCCCCCCCCCCCCCCCCCCCCCCCCCCCCCCCCCCCCCCCCCCCCCCCCCCCCCCCCCCCCGGGGGGTCACTGGACACCTCCACACTGCGCGGGGGGGTCCGGGACGACACCTCCACACTGCGCGGGGGGTCCAGGACAACACCTCCACACTGCGGGGGGGGGGGGGGGGGGCGGTCCGGGACAACACCTCCACGCTGCGCAGGTTCCCAGAACTTCATGAAAGGTTGCATAAAAAAAAGTCACACAGCCCCGCCGGCTGCATTGGATAAAGATGGCTTCCGGGTGGTAAATATCGGGCGGCCGGATGGAGTAACAGCTTCAGTATATTCGGCAGGCCGGGTGCAAAATACGCATACACCTCTGACCCCGCCCCCCCTGGAGTCCTTGGAACTATTCCACCAATCGGCCTTCAGTAATTGCTCAAGGTTTCCTGCGCCTGAAAAGATGAGAACATGGATGGGAGTTAGGTCAGGTCTCTACTATCAAAACGTGTCATGTCAACCAATCAGGGGTTAGTAGAAAGTGTGTTACCTGTCCAACATGTAACATTCCCCCCTCCCCCACCCCCCATTCCCAAAAAAAAAAAAAAAAAACACGAGGGGGCACGTTACACCCTCTTCTTTTTTTTTGGGGGGGGGGGGGGGACACATGTAACATGTTCCCCCACCCCCCTAAAATCGGGTGGAACATTTAACAAGTTCACCCCCAAAGAAAAGGGTGCAACATGTGGGGAGGGGGGGGGGGGGGGGGGGGGGGAACCATTGTTCCACCTGTTTACACCCCCTCAAAAGAAAAGGGTGTAACAATGGTCCCCCCCTTAAAAAACGGGTGGAACATGATTTTAGGGGGGAGAACATGTTACATCCTTTTCTTGGGGGGGGGGGGGGGGGGCTTGTTACATGTTCCACCTGTTTACACCCCCCCGAAAAGAAAAAGGGTGTAACATGTTCCTACACCGCTAAAAAAAAGGTGGAACGTGTAACATGTTCCCCCACCCCCCTAAAAACAGGAGGAACATGTAACGTGCTCATAGGTGAACTTGTCCTTCATGTGGGGAATGGATCCTCCGGTCTGATGGACTTACTTGGGAAGAGCGTGGTGCTGGTACCCGGGGCCCAGATTGGAGCCGGCTCTCATTTCCACAGCCACAGAGCACTGCAAGGAGAGAAGAAATCCAGTAAACCATCAGAAACAGAAGTGGACGTCCAGAGCACACGGGTGATACCACCCTGATGACTCCTCCTGTAGAGGTCGCAGTGAAGCTGCTGACAGGTATGATGGGTTCAGGATGCTTGGCATAAGGTCTTTAGGCTTGCGGTTGGGGGGCATGAAAAATGTGCGGCTAAGCTGCATTTATAGTGCCCCCCGAGTTTATCTTGCCCACTGGGTGCAACATCCGTTTAGCTGCAGGTACGAAGCAATGCGATCCGTTCAAGTGAATGAGGAAATGCCACAAGCACCCCGCAGCCTCGTGCAATGCACACAGTTGGGGCGTTTGTGCAGCAATTATGGGGTTAAACACAGGCAACGAGGTGACGTCACATTGCCTCCTCACTGCCTTGCAAACTGCTCTGATCGTTTTCAGAGGAGCAGCATTTAGTCGCAAGTCTAAACCTAGCCTAAGCAGTCTCTGCATTCACAGTGTGAAATCACTGCACCTCCTTTTCATTCAATGAAAGTTCATGAGCTGAGCCCCTGGGTTACACTAAAAGGAACTGCAAACCCATTTACAGGGGTTGGATAAAAAAAAACAAACAAAAAGAAAAAACACATGATTTGCAGGTGTGAAAGGGACGACATGTTTGATGTTGAAAGTGGAAGTGACGCAACATTATTTTGCTTACGCTGTGTGATGAGACAACTAACAGGTGGGAAATCTCACTTTCCTCATTCCCTGCTAGTAATACAGAGTCATGTCAGGGCTTACTGAGCTTCAAAGAGGGAAAATTGTTGGTGCTACAAGAGGACATTGCGCAGGATTGTGACTCGGAATGAGAAAACTGCTGCTGCAAATGTGACTGCAGAGCTCAATCTCAGTCTTAACGGGACTGAGATTGAGCTCCACAGTCATTTTTGCAGCAGTTATCCTAGGTCACAAACCTATACAATATCCTTTTGTCTCTTTCAGTCAGTTGACCATGTGGACCGCACTTATACTTCTCAGACGACGTTTTTTCCGGAAACTGTATATGCCGTCATATTCCTTTGATCCTGGACCTCGCCACACGGCAAATAAATTGGTGACATCCGTCAAAGAGGCGCCAGCTAAGCGACACCAGCAATCTGCCCTCTTTGAAGCTCTGACATGACTCCGTATTACTAGCAGGGAATGAGGAAAGTGAGGCTTCCCACCTGTTATCTAGGTGTCTCATCACACAGCGGAAGCACAACGTTACTTCTGCTTTCCCCACCAAACGTCGTCACTTTCACACCTGCAAATCATGGAGCGTTTCCATTTTTTTGTCCAGCACCTGTATACATTACAACGTATTTGCCAATGATCATTTCTCCTGTATAGGTTACACATCTGTTCACACTTACTCTGGTCTCCACATCTGTCCACTCCGATTCTGTACTTTCTGCCGGTGGAGGCCGATTCGTTTCAGAGGATCTCCTCTTGCGGCTGTAAGACAAATTATGAGAAGGATTCCAACTTCATAGCTGTTAATGCCTGGAATTCATCAGAAGATTTCCAACATAAAATGCTGCAGTTTCATAGTTCGTTTGAACTGGATGGACTTTTTCTTTTTCACCCAACCATAAACACACACAAAAAAAGAAAAGTTATAATCCTACACCCACAATTGATCCAGAGGAAGGCAAAAAATAAATAAATAAATTAAAAAAAACTCAGCAAAGTACGATCCAATTTGCTCCTGCAGGGGAAAAAAAAAATTCCTTCCTGATCCCCCGAGAGGCAATCGGATATTCCCTGGATCAACTTTCCCTATAAATGTTATATCCAGTTATATTCTGTGTATCCAAGAAACAATCCAGGACTTTCCTACTGCAATCCACTGAGCTGGCCACAACCAACTCTGGAGGGAGTCTATTCCACATTCTCACAGCTCTTACTGTGAAGAAACCTTTCCGCGTTTGGAGATTACATTTCTTTTCCTCCAGACGTAAAGAGCGCCCCCTTGTCCCTCTGTGATGACCTCAGGGGGGAATAACTACACCGAGTTCACTATATGAACCACTGATGTATTATACATGGAGATCATATCCCCCCCCTTATGTATTATACATGGAGATCATATCCCCCCCCTTATGTATTATACATGGAGATCATATCCCCCCCCTTATGTATTATACATGGAGATCATATCCCCCCCCTTATGTATTATACATGGAGATCATATCCCCCCTTATGTATTATACATGGAGATCATATCCCCCCTTATGTATTATACATGGAGATCATATCCCCCCCTTATGTATTATACATGGAGATCATATCCCCCTTATGTATTATACATGGAGATCATATCCCCCCTTATGTATTATACATGGAGATCATATCCCCCCTTATGTATTATACATGGAGATCATATCCCCCCTTATGTATTATACATGGAGATCATATCCCCCCCTTATGTTATTATACATGGAGATCATATCCCCCCTTATGTATTATACATGGAGATCATATCCCCCCCTTATGTATTATACATGGAGATCATATCCCCCCCTTATGTATTATACATGGAGATCATATCCCCCCCTTATGTATTATACATGGAGATCATATCCCCCCCTTATGTATTATACATGGAGATCATATTCCCCCTTATGTATTATACATGGAGATCATATCCCCCCTTATGTATTATACATGGAGATCATATCCCCCCTTATGTATTATACATGGAGATCATATCCCCCCTTATGTATTATACATGGAGATCATATATCCCCCCTTATGTATTATACATGGAGATCATATCCCCCCTTATGTATTTATACATGGAGATCATATCCCCCCTTATGTATTATACATGGAGATCATATCCCCCCTTATGTATTATACATGGAGATCATATCCCCCCCTTATGTATTATACATGGAGATCATATCCCCCCCTTATGTATTATACATGGAGATCATATCCCCCCTTATGTATTATATATGGAGATCATATCCCCCCTTATGTATTATACATGGAGATCATATCCCCCCTTATGTATTATACATGGAGATCATATCCCCCCTTTAATCTCTTTCCTTGTAAAGATCATGCCCCAATGTGTCCATAGTGACCACAGCATACCCGTTTCCGGGAGGAGACTCCTGTCTGAGGGTTTCAATGTCTGTGAACTGTACAGACTGACCTCCACCTCGAGTCCGAAAGACATCACCCTAAAAAAAAAAAAAAAAAAAAAAAAAAGAAAAAAAGATTTATACAGTGTTGGCTGCAAACTAGAATATAATGGAGACGGTCAGACATCAGGCGGTGCTCACCGAAATGTGCAGGATAGGAAAGGTAAACAAAAACATACAAAATTTACAGGGAAAGTGTAAGACGCATGCAAATCAATGCTGCTGCTTACATAACTTGTGGAAAACTTGGGCAGTTTTTAATTTTGTCTTCATACAATGAAGGATGAAGACACCCCTCCCCCGCCCCTGAATATCTGTTACCTTAATGAGTTTAGTTTCCATCTCCCCATCGGAGGCCAGCTGCTGGTGTGTCAGCATGTACTTGTCGCACTTTGCCAACGCCTTTTCGCTAGCCACAGATACTTTGATGGCGTTGGGGACATGAGGCTGCATGACCGTCTCGGTCTCCACACTACCAGATGGTTTATGGTCTACCCATCTCTCCGCCCCCGCGGAGCGAGAGCGGCGGTGCCTCGAGTGCACCGGGGGAACAGTCTAAGCGGGACCGGAAAATCAAGATCAAAAAGAAACAGAAGAATCGAGTCAATAAAAAAAAAAAATTATTCAAAACATGCAAATGAAGGTGCAGTCAGCGGGCCTGGTACATGTTATGTAATGACAGGTGTGTGCAGAGGTGCCCAGAGTCCAATGTGCTGGAACTGGATCTGTGGGGGTTGTAGAAGCTCCATTCTCTGTGGTGGAGAGAGCCCCATGTGAACAACACAGGTACAGGTACCCCCATACGTCCCCCCCCCCATGGTATACAAGACCCTAAAGTGACAAAAATTTACCCCTTCGGGTTCAGTGTGATATTTTGGACTCATCTTGCTAAAAAGAAAAAAAAAAAAAAAAAAAAAGTAGTATGGAGATCACTTCCATCACTCCAGTAATGCATTTCAGCAGTTAAAGGACTATTTCAACTAGCTGCTGTCAGTCCTCGTCATAGGAACACACTACTGCGTATTGCCATAATCGGCATGGATAATGGGGTCCCCTTCACACGGCCATTTAGAGACCAACGGCAAGGCCTAATGGATTCCTGCGGCTGGAATGACCGGAGCATGCGAATAGCAGCAGGTTCTGCCTGCAGCTGCAACACCATGGGGGTTACCTGCGGTTAGGGACACCAGTTACTAACTGCAGGTAGCCATACCCCAAGCAAACAGCAGCGGGCGCTGTCGGCCTGTCTTTGGTTTGAAACCACTTGAAGACCCGGCCCCCTCTGACCCCTGGTTCACATCTATGCGGCCGTGGTTTGCTCGGGCACGAGAGCCCATTCATTTGAATGGACTCCTGTGCCCGTGCCACACAGAGAAGTCTCTGCACTACTTTGGAAAATGCATCCGAGGTTCCCAGTATGGTTGCGGTTCCCAGTGTGGGCGGCGTGCCATTAGAACTAATACACCCACCCGTGGGTCTGCATTCCTCTGTGAGGGTGGTGCAGCTGCACGGATTTTCGTGCGGATCCGCAGCGGCACCACCCGCACAGATGTGAACCTAGGGTTACACTTTAGTTTTCTAGCAAAAGAAAAACATTTTTGAAATGTAAACACTTAGAAACCACCAACACTAATATCCCTCCCCCCCCCCAGCCCCTGACCTGTGGTGATTGCGGCCCGTGCAAACAACAGGGTAGCGATGACCTGCGGCCCGTGCAAACAACAGGGTAGCGATGACCTGCGGCCCGTGCAAACAACAGGGTAGCGATGACCTGCGGCCCGTGCAAACAACAGGGTAGCGATGACCTGCGGCCCGTGCAAACAACAGGGTAGCGATGACCTGCGGCCCGTGCAAACAACAGGGTAGCGATGACCTGCGGCCCGTGCAAACAACAGGGTAGCGATGACCTGCGGCCCGTGCAAACAACAGGGTAGCGATGACCTGCGGCCCGTGCAAACAACAGGGTAGCGATGACCTGCGGCCCGTGCAAACAACAGGGTAGCGATGACCTGCGGCCCGTGCAAACAACAGGGTAGCGATGACCTGCGGCCCGTGCAAACAACAGGGTAGCGATGACCTGCGGCCCGTGCAAACAACAGGGTAGCGATGACCTGCGGCCCGTGCAAACAACAGGGTAGCGATGACCTGCGGCCCGTGCAAACAACAGGGTAGCGATGACCTGCGGCCCGTGCAAACAACAGGGTAGCGATGACCTGCGGCCCGTGCAAACAACAGGGTAGCGATGACCTGCGGCCCGTGCAAACAACAGGGTAGCGATGACCTGCGGCCCGTGCAAACAACAGGGTAGCGATGACCTGCGGCCCGTGCAAACAACAGGGTAGCGATGACCTGCGGCCCGTGCAAACAACAGGGTAGGGTAGCGATGACCTGCGGCCCGTGCAAACAACAGGGTAGCGATGACCTGCGGCCCGTGCAAACAACAGGGTAGCGATGACCTGCGGCCCGTGCAAACAACAGGGTAGCGATGACCTGCGGCCCGTGCAAACAACAGGGTAGCGATGACCTGCGGCCCGTGCAAACAACAGGGTAGCGATGACCTGCGGTGATTGTGGCCCGTGCAAACAACAGGGTAGCGATGACCTGCGGTGATTGCGGCCCATGCAAACAACAGGGTAGCGATGACCTGCGGTGATTGCGGCCCATGCAAACAACAGGGTAGCGATGACCTGCGGTGATTGCGGCCCGTGCAAACAACAGGGTAGCGATGACCTGCGGCCCGTGCAAACAACAGGGTAGCGATGACCTGCGTGTGATTGCGGCCCGTGTGCGAACAACAGGGTAGCGATGACCTGCGGTGATTGCGGCCCGTTGTGAACAGCAGATTCCTGCTGCTGCTGTAATTTGCACCAGTGCTAGTTGTCATGCGAGGGTTGCCTTAGGTACCTATATCAGGAGAGCTAGGGTGGGTACACCTGTAGAGGATCAAAAAAGGCGTTTTTTTTATCTGCCTGGAGTTCAGATATGTCCATTCTATCGGGATAATTTACCAAAGTTGAGAATTCTCCTAATACATTGTGCAGTTAGTTATCCAATCATTCAAAAAGCAAAAAATTCCATATACCCAATCACGTTCAGATTGAACAAGTAGACAGGGATTTGGATTGGATGACTGAAGTGAATATTTACATTTATTCTCAATTCCATTAGTAAGTCAGCCCCATTGTGTGGACAAGAGGTCTTATGATATTAAAAACAGTGTAACTGATAACATTACCAGGCCGACTGAACAGCAACCTTACAGAGATTTACATTCTTTAAAAAAAAAAAAAAAATCAATCATATTTAGTGACATGCAGCATAATTTGACAGCGAAGCAACAAGCCAGGACCCTCAAATGAAAGCTCAACCCACCACAGCTCAGTTCACCGATCAAAGAAGGAAAAAGCAGAATTGGCTTATTAATTTTTTCAGTATTAACAGGCTTCCTGTACAGAGAACACTTTCCTCTCATTTTACATCAAAAAAAAAAAAAAAAAGGGAGGTATAATTGCTTAAGTAAATCGGTTTAGTAGATCTTGTTGTCACATACTAGAACTGAAATGAATGCAGCAAAGAAGAAAAAAAACCACACAAAAAAAATATATATATTATAATTTTTTCTTTTTTATAGAAAACCTGAGAGTGGTTCAGACTTCCCTCATTCTATGAAAAACAACTGCTTATTAATCATAGAAAAGCAAAAAGGACTCATTTTGTTGCAGATCATCTTTTCTAATTTTTTTTGGAGGCGGGAGACGGCGGGGGACGTCGGGGGGGAGGGCGGGGGAAGTCTGGACGGCGGGGAAGTCTGGAGGGCGGGGGACGGCGGGGAGGGCGGGGGAGGGCGGGGAGACGGCGGGGAGGCGGCGGGAGTTGGAGGGCGGGAGAGGTCGGGAGGGCGGGAGAGGGGGAGGGCGGGGGACGTCTGGAGGAGGGACGGGGAGGGCGGGGGACGTCTGGAGAAGGGCGGGGACGTCTGGAGGGCGGGGGACGTCGGGAGAACGTCGGGAGGGCGGGGAGGTCGGGAGACGTCTGGGGGACGGGGGGGGGGGAGACGTCTGGAGGGCGGGGGAGGGCGGGAGACGTCGGGAGGGCGGGGCTGGGGGGGACGTCGGGAGAGACTGGAGGGCGGGGGGACGTCGGGGAGAAGTCTGGAGGGCGGGGGACGGGGAGGGGGGGACTGGAGGGCGGGGGACGTCGGGAGACGACTGGAGGGCGGGGGGGGGGGAGGGGGAGAAGACTGGAGGGGGGGGGGACGTGGGGGAAGACTGGAGGGCGGGGGGACGAGGGGGGGGACGTGGGAGAAGGGCGGGGGACGTCGGGAGGGCGGAAGACTGGGGAGGGCGGGGGACGTCGGGAGAAGACTGGCGGGGGGTGGGGACGTCGGGAGAAGACTGGGGGGCGGGGGGACGTGGGGAAGACTGGAGGGACGTGGGAAGACTGGAGGGGGGACGTCGGGAGAAGACTGGAGGGACGTGGGGAGGGCGGGGGAAGTGGGGAGAAGGGGGCGGGGGACGTCGGGAGAAGACGTGGAGGGCGGGGGACGTGGGGAGAAGACTGGAGGGCGGGGGACGTGGGGAGAAGACTGGAGGGCGGGGGACGTGGGGAGAAGACTGGAGGGCGGGGGACGTCGGGGAGGGAGGGGGGGACGTGGGGAGGACTGGAGGGCGGGGGACGTCGGGAGAAGACGTGGGGAGGGCGGGGGACGTCGGGAGAAGACTGGAGGGCGGGGGACGTCGGGAGGGGACGTCGGGAGAAGACTGGAGGGCGGGGGACGTCGGGAGAAGACTGGAGGGCGGGGGACGTGGGGAGAAGACTGGGGGCGGGGGACGTCGGGAGAAGACTGGAGGGCGGGGGACGTCGGGAGAAGACTGGAGGGCGGGGGACGTCGGGAGAAGACTGGAGGGCGGGGGACGTCGGGAGAAGACTGGAGGGCGGGGGACGTCGGGGAGAAGACTGGAGGGCGGGGGACGTCGGGAGAAGACTGGAGGGCGGGGGACGTCGGGAGAAGACTGGAGGGCGGGGGACGTCGGGAGAAGACTGGAGGGCGGGGGGTCGGGAGACGACTGGGGGAGAAGACTGGAGGGCGGGGGACGTCGGGAGAAGACTGGAGGGCGGGGGACGTCGGGGAGAAGACTGGAGGGCGGGGGACGTGGGGGAGAAGACTGGAGGGCGGGGGCGTCGGGGAGAAGACTGGAGGGCGGGGGACGTCGGGAGAGAAGATGGAGGGCGGGGGACGTCGGGAGAAGACTGGAGGGCGGGGGACGTCGGGGAGAAGACTGGAGGGCGTGGGGGCGGGGGACGTCGGGAGAAGACTGGAGGGCGGGGGGGGACGTCGGGAGAAGACTGGAGGGGGCGTGGGGACGTCGGGAGAAGACTGGAGGGCGGGGGACGTCGGGAGAAGACTGGAGGGCGGGGGACGTCGGGAGAAGACTGGAGGGCGGGGGACGTCGGGAGAAGACTGGAGGGCGGGGACGTCGGGAGAAGTGGAGGGCGGGGGAACGTCGGGAGAAGACTGGAGGGGCGGGGGACGTCGGGAGAAGACTGGAGGGCGG